CATTTGTACAATGGGGAGGTGGGACTTAGTAATCTAAAAGCCAGCCTGATTCTAACCTCTCTTCCATGCCTATCTCATCCTGCTCCCAACTCACCTTCTGGATATGCCTGCCCTGCTGGGCCCCCTGAATATCAATAAGTGCCACCTTGGGTGAGAAATCTCTGGGCCTTTGGGATGCTCTGGGTTGGCAGTGGAGGGGAGGTGGGTGAACAAAAGGAAGACTAAGGAGCTGGAGTGAGACAGAAAACCCTCTCCTCCCTGCTTCCATCTCTACTGCTTGCCCCGTTTGTTCCAGCAGGGAAAGCAGGGGCAGAGGAGTGCCCCAGGACAGAATGGGCCCCTGGCTTTCCTGGTGAAAGGGAGTTTTAGGGAACCCAAGATCCCCTGCTCCTTAGGAACTCCCCAGGGGACCCCCAGACCCTCCTCAGAGACCCTGGCCTCCCAGTACCCTCTGTGGCCCCCGATTAGCACTATCTTTGGAGGGAGCAGCTAGACCAAAGCTGAGGGTGGCTGGTATGCAGTTGGTAGGAAGTGGGTGGTGAGTTGACAGTGGGCAGACAAATGGGTGGATGGTGAGCGGGTGGGGAGGAGGGTGAATGGTGGATGGGGCTGAATGAATAGTGGGTGGGTAATAAGTAGGTGGTGGGTGAATGACAGGTGATGGCATTATTTGGGTAGAAGGGTGGTTGAAGGTCCTGTGAATTAAGGGTCTGGGGTAAAGGTGGTGACAGGAGTCTCAAGCTAAGAAACCATATTGTCTCTAACTATAGAGACAATCTCTATATTTACACTCAAGTGCTGGGATAGGTCCTAGAACCCAGTAGCCCCACCCCCAGGACCATCTTGGATTTCCCTAAGTGATCTCAGGGCCATGGGCACTTTCCTGTGTGCATGCTCTAGTCCCAGCAGGGTTCCCAGGCTTGGCCCCACTGACTGCCCCTATAAGAGACTCCCAAATTTGAATACACACCCCTACTTCTGTGGTTCACATCCACCGCTCCGGCCTCTTCTTCCAGTTGCAAGGTAGAATTGGGCCTCTGGACCTCCTGGCAGCCCAGGATCTCTATGACCCCTAGGACCTGAGGTCTACTCTGGCCATGAGGGCCCCAGGACCACCCTGGATGCCCAGGAACTTATGGGCTGCCAGGAACCCTGTGGACACTGGGCCTTTCAGGGTTGCCCAGCCCAGATAAGCTCCTAAGAATCCATGGAGTTCAAGGACCAGTGAAGCCTCTGGGCCAGGGTTTCCTCAAGGACAACCAGGCCAGCCAGGTCTATAGGTGAGAAGAAGCCACCTACCCTGCCAACCCAATCCTCTGTCCCAAGCCCTCCTGAAACCTTGACACCCCCCTTTTAACTTCTCTCAGGTGACTGCTCACATGTCACTGAGCTTTTTAGCCACCCTTTCTCTAGATGTCTGATTGCCACAACTAGAGTATGAGTTAAGAGACACTGACAGCCGGGCGCGGTGCCTCACACCTGTAATCCCAGCACTTTGGGAGGCTGAGGCGGGAGGATCATGAGGTCAGGAGATCGAGATCATCCTGGCGAACATGGTAAAACCCCATCTCTACCAAAAATACAAAAAATTAGCTGGGCGTGGTGGCACATGCCTGTAGTCGCAGCTATTTGGGAGGCTGAGACATGAGAATAGCTTGAACTTGGGAGGCAGAGGTTGCAGTTCATGCCACCACTGCACTCCAGCCTGGGAGTGAGACTCCGTCTCAAAAAAAAAAAAAAAAGATTTAACAACTGCGTCTTTCTTTCTTCCCCTTCCCTTTGTTTCTTCAGTCTCTTCCTTCCTTCTCTTTCTTTAGCACCCCATCCCCCATCCTTCCCTACATGTTTTCCTACAACAAATGCTGCCTACTTGGTTGACACTGTGTCCTACACAACCCTGTGTGGTCGGAAACTGACGCTTAATAGATGCTCAGTAATGCCTATTGGCTCACTGAGCCTGTACCTTACTCCCCTAGGATCTCCCCCTGGGGGGTTCTCCAGGGGCTGGAGAGCTCATCTTATCCAGTATTCTACCCCCCTTCCAAATATAGGGTAGAAGAGAGAGCAAGGCTTGCATAGTGGGAGAGGCTTGGAGGGGCCTCCTGGAGCCTCTAGTCCATCTGAAAAGGTGATCTATGCTCAGGTGGGTCTCCCTGAGAGAACAGAAGACGCCTGTGTCCCTTTCTTCATGGCTGCCCTTTCCTCTTTCTCTTTTACCTCCTTGTGATGATTAGTACTGAGTGTCAACTTGATTGGATTGAAAGATGCAAATTATTGATCCTGGGTATGTCCGTGAGGGTGTTGCCAAAGGAGATTAACATTTGAGTCAGTGGGCTGGGAAAGGCAGACCCACCCTTAATCTGGGTGGACACAATCTAATCAACTGCCAGTGCGGCTAGGATAAAAGCAGGCAGAAGAATGTGAAAATACTAGACTGGCTTAGCCTCCCAGCCTACATCTTTCTCCCATGCTGAATGCTTCCTGCCCTCAAACATTGGACTCCAAGTTCTTCAGCTTTGGGACTCGAACTGACTTCCTTTCTCCTCAGCTTGCAGATGGACTATTGTGGGACCTTGTGATCATGTGAGTTTAATATTCCTTAATAAACTCATATATATATATAATATATGATATATATATCTGATATTATATATGATTGATATATGATATATGATATGTATGATATATATATATAACATATATATAATATATACCATTAAGGATTAATTCCCTTGGCTTTGAGGAAGCAATGTGTACAGTAGAACATCCAATAGATCAGGAATTGTGATCTTACACGTCAATTTTTTTTTTTTTTTGAGACGGTGTCTCACTCTATCACCCAGGCTGGAGTGCAATCTTGGCTCCCTGCAAGCTCTGCCTCCTGGGTTCACGCCATTCTCCTGCCTTGGCCTCCCGAGTAGCTGGGATTACAGGTGCCCACCACCATGCTTGGCTAATTTCTTGTATTTTTAGTAGAGACGGGGTTTCACCCTGTTAGCCAGGATGGTCTTGATCTCCTGACCTCGTGATCCACCTTCCTCGACCTCCCAAAGTGCTGGGTTTACAGGCGTGAGCCACTGCACTCGGCCACCCACCTCCAGGTTCACGCCATTCTACTGTCCTGTCTCAGCCTCTTGAGAAGCTGGGACTACAGGCGTCTGCCACCATGCCCGGCTAACTTTTTGCATTTTTAGTAGAGACGGGATTTCACCTTGTTAGCCAGGATGGTCTCGATCTCCTGACCTCAAGTGATCCACTTGCCTGGGCCTCCTAAAGTGCTGGGATTACAGGCGTGAGCCACCGCGCCTGGCCTAACTTTCATTATTACGTAAGGTTTGCCTACTCAATCAGACAAGATGATCCCTAGGGCAAGCCCATTAATTCAGGGGTTCCCTCAGGGCCGAACTGTGTCTTTCCCCCTGAGAACTGAGCTTGCTTTTTTCCTATCTATTCTGTCTCTCTTTTTTTTTTTTTTTTGAGACGGAGTCTTGCTCTGTTGCCCAGGCTGCAGTGCAGTGGTGCTCTCTCTGCTCACTGCAACCTCTGCTGCTCAGGTTCAAGCAATTTTCGTGCCTCAGCCTCCTGAGTAGCTGAGATTATAGGCACCTGCCACCATGCTTGACTAATTTTTGTATTTTTAGTAGAGATGGGATTTCACCATATTGGCCAGGCTGGTCTCGAACCCCTAACCTCAAATGATCTGCCCGCCTTGGCCTCCCAAAGTGCTGGGATTACAGGCGTAAGCCACCTCACCCGGCCTCTTCCTATCTATTCTCTAAGACGCCCAGCCTGAACGCTGCAGAGGTTGGAAATTGTACAAACAAGGAAGCCAGTGAGACCTTCTAAGTAACAAGCCGGCTAGGGTGGGAGGTGGAGGAGGCTGGGAGGGAGTAGTCATTTTCTTCATCCATTCATCAGGAGGAGTGTCTTCCCAGTCCTTAGGGTACCCAGGAGGCAGGGGCAGACAATGATGCTGTGGGAGAGGAGGTTTCATTTTCTGGTAGAGTCCTGGGCTGAGAAAGATGTCAGGGAAGGAGGGCCAGATTTCTGCCTTGGAGAGGGTCCTAGTCAGAGCTCCCAAAGTGCTGGGATTACAGGCGTGAGCCACTGCGCCCGGCTGCTCTTTTTAGAAACAATTTTATATTTTATTTTTAAGAGACCAGGTCTCTTTCTGTTCTCCAGGCTGGGATGCAGTGGCACTCATAGTTCACTGCAGCCTTGAACCCTTGGGCTGAAGGGATCCTCCTGCTTCAGCCTCCTGAATAGCTAGGACTATAGGCACATGCTACCATAGCTGGCTAATTTTTTTTTTTTTTTTTTTTTTTGAGACAGGGTTTCACTCTGTTGCCCAGGCTGGAGTGCAGTAAGCTATTTTGGCTCACTGCAACCTTGACTTCCTGGGCTCAAGTGATTCTGCTACCTCAGCCTCCCGAGTAGCTAGGACCATAGGTGCATGCCACCACCCCTGACTAGATTTTGTATTTTTTTTTTTGCAGAAACAATGTTTTGCCATGTTGCCCAGGCTGGTCTTGAACTCCTGTGCTCAAGCGATCCACCTGCCTTGGCCTCCCGAAGTGCTGGGATTACAGATGTGAGCCACCGTGCCTGGCCCCATGCTCTTTATATAGCCTCTCCCAGACACGACACTTGCAGGCTGAAGGCGGACACTAAATCCAGTCTTCTGAGAGCCTCTAGTTCAGTGGGGGAGACACAGGTCTTGCCACCAGGGATTCTCAGCCATGGAGAAGTTACAGTTCCCAGCAGAAGAGGGGTAGGAGGGAGCAAACACTTGGTGCTTACCACATGCCAGGCACTTTGGATAGGTCTCTCTCTCTTTCTTGCTGCAAAGTCCCATTTTCCAGATAAGGCCTAAAGCTCAGAGAGCTAAAGCAACTTGTTTTAGGTTTCCTAGTGAGCCCAGTGAGCCTAGTGAGCACAGCTGGGGTCAGAATCCAGGTCATCCTGACGCTCGCACTGTGCTGATTCTTGTAGCACGGAGGGCCATTGGCTCAAGGATCGTCTCTCTCTTTTAATTTTTTTATGGTGAAAAGATACACATATATTTAGAATTAGCCAGCTGGATTCAGTTTAGATGATCCCAATTTTGTTGGCAACATCCAAAGCATCGTAATCAGGAGCCAGTCCAACATATGCCTTCTCTCCATCAGGCTGAATCAGGGTGTTGACCTGGGCCACATCAATGTCACAGAGCTTCTTCATAGCCTGTTTGATCTGGTGCTTGTTGGTTTTAACATCCACAATGAACACAAGTGTGTTGTTGTCTTCTATCTTCATGGCGGACTCAGTGGTCAGCAGAAACTTGGTGATGGCATAGTAGTCAAGCTTGTTTCTCCTGGGGGAGTTTTCCGAGGATATTTGGGCTGCCTCTGGAGTTGCAGTGTCTTGGGCCACCACAAGGTGGGTGACCTGCAGATCTTTTTTGTGTGTGGCCGTGGACACCTTTCAACACTACCTTCTTGAGTTCAGCTTTAGAAGGGGCAGGAGCTTCCTTCTTCGCCTTCAGTGCCATCTTGTGAAAAAGGATCATCTCTAATGAAGGCTTTCAGCCTGTATGCCCTGAATGTAGAACTGACCACCTGTGGCTCTGGATCCCCATTGTGCCCCATATGAACATCTCCCAGGGCACCTGCACACTTCTCAGATTTATTTTATTTACATACTATCTTCCCTCATTAGGCAGTGAGCTCCTTGAGGACAGGGGGTGATCTTGGTCATCTCTGCATCCCTGGTATGTAGCATAAAGCCTGTGCATATTAGGTATTCAGTAAATGTGTGTTGCATGAATGGTGGGAGGTGCTTGGAAGGCCTCTTCCTGTGCATCTTCCTGACTCCTTGGAATTAACCCAATGATGAGGGGTAAAGGGACACCAGAGGATGGACTGAGGGGCTGGGGTTGAGGTGTGGGAATGTCTTGTCTGGCAGCCTTTCCAGATTCCCACACTCACCTGCACTCACGCTTCATCCCAGGCATGCTGCATGACATTGTCCAGCCTCTCCTGCACTCTTGCCTCTATGTCCTGGCACCTTTTCTCCTCTTGGGTTTGCTGACCAGGGGACATGTCTGGCATTGGGAGCAGAACTATTCTTTTCCATTCCATTTTATTCTCACAAGAGCTTCATGAGGTAGGATGGGTGGAGATGCTCTGCCTCCATGTTACAGCTAAGATGAGTCAAACTCCAAGTTCACACAAGTTGGTGGTAGAACAGGGTCCAGTGGTGATGGGGTGGGGGCAGTTTTCTTTCCTTTTTTTCTTTTCTCTTTTCTTTCTTTCTTTCTTTTTTTTTGAAATGGAGTCTTGCTCTGTCGACCAGGAGTGCAGTGGCGCAATCTCAGCTCACTGCAACCTCCGCCTCCTAGGTTCAAGCAATTCTCCTGCCTCAGCCTCCCCAGTAGCTGGGACTACAGGCGCGTGCCACTATGCCTGACTAATTTTTTGTATCTTTAGTAGAGATGAGGTTTCACCATGTTAGCCATGATGGTCTCGATCTCCTTACCTCGTGATGCGCCTGCCTCGGCCTCCCAAAGTGCTAGAATTACAAGCGTGAGCCACCGTGCCCGGCCTGGGGGCAGTTTTCTGAATCAGGCACAGGCTGGGCTTCCCCAGGGACTTGAGGAAGCTGGTTCTGTTTGCCCTTCTCCAAGGCATATAGGGAAAAAGGGTCCCCACTTCATCTGTGAGATGGAATGGAGAGAACCCCAGAATCTTGGCCCCATCACTTTCCAGCCCTTCTGCAGTCTTGATGGTTGCCAGTAGGTGCCGTCAGTTTGCAACTTTTTGGTCTGTCCTGCAGGTCCGGCTGCCAGTCCCAATCTCCCTGCAATCATCTCTCAGTCTGCACTTGCAGGAAGTAGGAGGTAGCCCAACCCCTGTGAGGCTAAAAGACTCCTGTCCTGGGGAAGCAGGAAGGGAGTCTCTGAACTGCATGTCAGCTTGGTTGACCTGCAGCTTTCTAGGCTAAGACAAAAACAAACAAACAAACAAACAAATAAACAAACCAGCCAACCACAGTGGGTTACTGATTATTCCTGGACAGGTACCCTTATCCTGAAACCAGCTCCAGTACAGCAGAAACCCTTGTAGGGGAGGATGGGTGGGAATTAGGGGGGTCCTGAGAGGGAACCTAGTAGATGGATCTTTGCTCCAAATGCTACTGCAGGGCTCTTCTCAATTTGGGCAAGATTGGGCAAGGTTGGGGGAATAGGGGCATCAATAGGACTTCACAGAGGGTCAAGCCAGGCCCAACACTAGCCCAAGTAGCAACATTGGGTGAATTAAAAAAGCATCCCTTCCTTAAAATTCTTTTTTTTTTTTTTTTTTTTTTTGAGACAGAGTCTTGCTCTGTCGCCCGGGCTGGAGTGCAGTGGTGCAATCTCAGCTCACTATAACCTCCTCCTCCTGGGGTTCAAGCGATTCTCCTGCCTCAGTCTCCCAAGTAGCTGAGATTATAGCCAGCACACCTGGCTAATTTTTGTATTTTTAGTAGAGATGAGGTTTCAACATGTTGGCCAGACTGGTCTCGAACTCCTGACCTCAGGTGATCTGCCCACCTTGGCTTCCCAAAGTGCTAGGATTACAGGCATGAGCCACCACACCCGACCTTCTTTTACCTTCTTTTATCCCTCCCTGCCTCCCTCCCTTCCTCCCTCCCTCCCTTTCTTCCTTCCTTCCTTCCTTCCTTCCTTCCCTCCCTCCCTCCCTCCCCGTCTTCCTTCCTTCCTTCCTTCCTTCCTTCCTTCCTTCCTTCCTTTCTTCCTTTCTTTCTTTCTTTCTTTCTTTCTTTCTTTCTTTCTTTCTTTCTTGGCGAGAAGAGCGCCATCTGCCTCTTCACGCGATAGCTGTGTGTGCGTGTCGATCTGTGCCTGGCGCCTGGTATCGCAGGCTGAGAACACACAAAGGCAGGATGTAGCGGCAGCGCGGCGCGACGCGCTGACGCCTGGAAATAACAACGATGCGTGCCCGTACTGTGGAGGGCGCTACGCGTGAATGATGACGAAAATGCGGCAGCCTATCATTAACGCTTCGCCTGAAAGACGGCAGCAACGCTGCAAGCCTGCCGCGGAGAGCCCCTCGGAAGCGGGATCATGTGCGGGTATCAGCATGGGAGCTGAGGCGAAGAGAATATGTCACAGCCTCTGCTTATACCCAGCGGAGCAGGATAGACGAGGCTTATCAGGCGGTACGCGCCGCTCTGCCGGATTAGTGGGGGCAGATGTCATTGGCGATCGACTTAGGCTGTCCTTGTGGGCAGCTGGAATATGAAGAACATCTGTGTGGAGACTCTCTGAGAATACGGAGACTCTGCAGCCCGGTTTGGTCGTCATCTGCGGCGAGCGTGTGTGAAGGCTTACCCGAAGTAGCCTGAATGCGCAAAGCAAATGTTGCGGGAGTGGACGCACAAATGAAGGACCTTGGCGTGGATGGGACTGCCTGCTGGCGATGGACCATTCTGCGATGTATGGCGGTGCGGGCGCGCGATGGCGTGTTTATGCCGCTCTGTGGCATCAACGCCAGCATCTGTGGAATAATGGCGTAGCGGCGGCAGCGAAATACTCTGTGGTTTGAAGACTTGCTGATCTGCGGAGAATACGTAGGCGCGTGGGCAATGTATGGTGAATAATGATGTCTTTGCAAATATCTGGATGGTATACCGTGCTCAAGCTGAGCGGCGGCGAACGAACTGAAGACAACGCAGTGACTGTGGGGCTGGGGGCAGGGTCAATTGCAGGACCATAAGCCATAAGGTGGGCCTTAACGCTCTATACATAATGGGGGTGCTAGGACATGTGAACCCTGCTCCTGGCTGGGAAGTGGATAAAGTGTCAGCAGGATATGGATGCGGAGGACAGGTTATGTCTCATCACATGGGCGGAGCGGGATCACAGGGACAGTGAGGTGTGTCGGCGACACCTTCCTTCTTCTGTTACTGGAAGGAGCAGCATGGGGATCTTGGCAGGGCAATAGATGGTGGTGGAAGAAGTACAGGCAGTAGGAGGAAGGAGGAAACATCCACTTCTGCAGAGGCCCGAAAGGAGCAGAATGAAACTAATGAAGGAGTGGCAGACATGCAATGTCATGAAATTATGAACAGATGGATGGAGACGGAAGGAGGGGAGGAATACAGCATCACAAATTATTGTGCACTGAGAAAGAAGACATTTGTATAGTATGTAGCGAGACTCGTTTCGTCGCTCATCACCCAGGCTGGGATGTGGGGTGGTGTGGACCTCTGGTGACAGCATGACTCCCTTCCTCCTGGTTCATGCCATTCTCCTGCTTCAGCCTCCCAAGTAGCTGGGACTACAGGCGCCTGCCACCATGCCTGGCTAATTTTTTGTACTTTTTAGTAGAGACGGGATTTCACCATGTTGGCCAGGATGGTGCCGATCTCCCAACCTCGCGATCCGCCTCCCAGAGTGCTGGGATTACAGGTGTGAGCCACCGTGCCCGGTTGAGAAACACATTCTCATAGAGCTTCACTGACATATGAGAATTGACATGTGTGGCTGGAGTACGGTGCCCACACACGAGTCAGAAACTCAGCTCCCCTCCATGTCGACTGACATCCGGTCCCAGAGCGGGGCACCCCCACAGTCACACCGCAGGTGTGGGCTGAGCAATGGTGCATCAGTACAGCTGCCTTTTCCTGCCACCAGGGTCCCACATACTTGGAGGCCGGATCAGGAGAGCCGAGATCTCCATAGAAACAACACAGTGCAAGGCCTGATCCAGCCCAGCCCCAGACTGTGGAGCCTGGAGTGCTTCCCTGAGCACATGGTTCCAGAGGTGAACACCCAGGCAAGACATGGGGAGGGGGGAAAGCCATCTTGGCTGGGCTGGCCAGGATCTGGTTTCATATCTCGAGCCATCCTGCTCAGCTGCTTACCAGTTTTGTGACCACTTCCTGTTCCTCAGCTTCAGCTTGGCCATCTGTAAAATGGGGGAAGGCAACTCACTGAACTGTGAAGTCCCTTCCAGCTGTGGCAATCTAGAAATCTAGGACCTCTGGATGATTCCTTTTGCATGGTCCAAGGCCCCATGCTGGCATGGCTTCCAATGCTCCAGAGCCTGCAATGCTTCCAGGCCAATTGGCACCAACAGGAGCGCTTTCTCATTGTCCAAAGCCTAAGCAGGAGACAAGCCAAGTGAATGATGTTGGGCCCTATGAGCGTTCTGTCACCATTCTGAGAAGTGATGAGGCTAACCCAAGAGTGTACAGCTAGCAAGTAATTGAGCCAAGACTTGTGCCAAATACAATTACCGCCTGCTACAATTTTAGCCTTCTTTGACCGGGAGCTATGGGCTCAGAACTCGAGAAAGATGGGGGTAGGGGCAGAAGAAGAAAGTGCAACCTGGGAGAAGGCTCTTGCAGAGAACATTTGCAAAAGCAATGACACACAGGGACTCTGAGCAGAGACAGCCAGGGTGGGCTGGGAAATTGTTTGCCCTGCTTCCCCTGATGCTTGTTGAGTCAAAGGGCAGGTGGCCTGACAGATCAGAGATCCAGAATCAGAGCAGACACCCTGTCCAAATTTCCTAGAGGGCCTCCAGGCCCTGACTCCTGCTTCCCCAACCCTGGTGAAAAAAGTGCCACCTTCCCCTTAGGAAATCTAAAGAGACCAAGGGACCTCCTGAACCCAGAGTCCTCAAAAGGAAGAAAGCTAGGCTTAGAGAAGGCGCCCCCCACAAGGGCATAAGACTTTAGATGACTAGAGTTTGCTGGACCTTCAGAGTGATGTCCAACACCCATGCACACAGGGCCTTACCCCCAGCTGCATGCCTCCCCCTTTCCCCACCAGCATTGGGAGCTCACAGATAGCACCAGTCATGCCTTCTGCATATGCCCAGACTCTCTTCTGTCCCCATCATTCCATCGCCAGAGCCAGGATCCTTCATGCCAGCGTCTATGCCTCATCCTTTCTCTCCTCCTTACCCCTGCCCACTTCATCCCAACCTTCCTCTTCTCCCTTCCCAGAAAAACATCCTGGCCTGAGGGACCTCTCAAGATTGGTGGTGACCAGACATCCCAATCCCACTTGGAAAAAGTAGGGAAGGGCCTCAGGAAAGGTGGGGGATTACAAGAGAGGAAAGGCATGCCTCCATTTTACCATCTGCGGAATACGCAGTGCATGGGATTGTTATGAGAAACTGTACAGAGTGGGTGGTAAGAGTGCCTGCTTCCGATTATGTCTCATTTAATAAATACATATGGAAAAACATAATGGAAACCACTCCCATACCCACCAAATGGAGTAAAAATTAAAATACTGACGATACCAGAATGTGGAGTAAGGATTCTCATATAAGCCACTGGTAAGAAAACAAATTTTTACAACCACTGAGAAGCAACCAATACTTCCACCCAGTAGGTATATACCTTGAAAGGTGTGTGTGTGTGTGTGTGTGTGTGTGTGTGTGTGTGTGTGTATTCCAAAACATATGTTCAAGAGTGTCATAGCAGCACTCTTCAGAATAATAAAAGAACCAATAGTAGAATAGTTAAGTCTCGACTTGAATATGCTGTTGATACATCCAACAATATAGACAAATCCTATGTTAGCAAAGATTACTACTGTATCACTCTATATAATCTCAAAGCAGAGCAAAACTAATGCTACGGTTTGAATGTCTCCTCCAAAACTCACGTTGAAATGTAATCACCGTTGTGACAGTATTAAGAAGTGGGGCCTTTAAGAGATGATTAGGTCATGGGGGCTCTACTCTCATGAATGGATTCATACTGTTATCACAGGAGTGGGCTCTGATAAAAGGATAAGTTTACACCGTAATCTCCCAGCACTTTGGGAGGCCCAGGAACCGGGAGGAT